TCCCCCTGCCTCAGCTTCCTAAGTAGCTGGGACGACAGGCATGTACCACCACGTCTGGCTAGTCTTGAACTCCTGAACTCAAGTGATACTCCCACCTTAGCCTCCCACAACACTAAGATCACAGGCGTGAGCCACCATGCCCGGCCTACTTTGTATCTCTTTAACCAGAATGCACAATATTCACTGTCCTTCAACTCAACTCTGCTTGTGAAAAATTCGTTTGGAATCCAAAGGAAATGAAGAAGCTTTAGCATGTTTATTAAGTATCTGTTAGTCGCCTTCTTCCATGACTCTTTCCTAATCATTCTCACTGCGATCTCCCCCACCCCCCTGAAACTCTCATGACACCTGAGATTTGCAGCATTCATCATGAAGTATCTTCAGCTTTATGAGTGGTGTCTCTCCTCTAGATTCTGAGCAACCTCAGGTAGGAAGGGTGGTTGTATGTTTGTTTCTGTCCCCATCTTAATACCCTATACTTAGAAGATATCAATTAAGTGTCAATTGGATAAATGAATATGTACCTTTATCTCAAAGGCTATGTAGCAGAGAGAAATGGTACAGACAGAAACTTGAATTTGATATGAGACTTGAAGTTTTAGATTACAGGGAAAACCTTTCTACTTGGTTATATCTGCTTAAATGAAAAGCAAGCTTTAAATATATACTCGATTGAGAAACAAAGTACTAAGTGAGCAATGAATAGGTACTTCGGTTGTATAACTGATAGCTATACCATCTAGATATCTCTGCTGTGTAAACTGGATGGCAGTTTCTGAAATGCTGCTATTTAATTCCATAATATGAGCCAAGAACAATTTCACTAACAGAAATCTGCATAAATAATAAGCATGATTTGAAATATGTATGATTGGTTGTTTTAAATTTTCCAATAATAATTTATCACTTGTCTTATATCCCACTAGCACATGCTAACAAGCCTCAAATATGTAAGAAAGGTTTAAAGAATATAAAACTGTTGAGAATTCTATCCACTATGTATTTTCTATAACTTGAGATGATATAGTCAATCACAGCTATATATGGGTTCAGTGGGTGTTCTGAGGACGCATCATTTGAACAACTGGTAAAAGCACAGAGAATATATATCCAGAGTCACTACAGTGGTCTCTCAACCTTAACTACATTGGAGGAGGATCTGAAGAGAGAATGGAAAAACTATGGGTAGGATGATTTAAGAACTCAGAAGTAAAGGATTTAGATAATATTGTTCAGCTTGAGGAATGAGACTAGAATTCGTACCTAAAGGAATCTCTACTAGTCTACCACTCTGGTAGACTCAGATTAGCCATGTTTAAATGTCAAGGAAAAAAAACCCAGACACACACGAAAGTGGCTTTGATTATTTAAGTCAGAGGAGGACTCTATGATAGCTATTCCCTACGTACCCAAGGCTCCTTCTTAGGGATAGCAGCTTTGTCAAGGACACAAATGCAGGGCAGCATGAGATTTCCAACAGCTTAACCTTTTAATCTGGGGTATGGGTGGAAGAGAATACATGAGTTGCTTTGTGACCTCCCATCCTAATGTCTTGGGGTCCAGTCAGGCTGACCCAAATGGAATCCAAAGCAAGTGGGGCGTTGGGCTCCCCAAGGAAAGGGGGCAGATCCAGAACAGAGCAGAAACGTTGACAATTATCTGTATGAAAAAGTAAGGATACTCTAGGTCAGAAGGACTAGCATCAACCTAGACAACAACTGAGGAGAAAGGAAGAGGGGAAAAAAGTAAGTGGTGAGAGGAGGGATGATAAAAGAGAGCCAGACACTTCAGCCAGAGACATATGGCTTCTTTCCAGGGTTAGTATGAAAAATACAAAGAGGCAGATTAGCATCAAGGATCAGGGATCCACAGCACATAGACGAAGTCCCCAACTACTCTTTTTGGTGCTGCTTACTACTTGGCTTGCTTCTAGAATTCAGCACAATTCTAAGGTGAATTTGGTGTTTCCCATCTTAGGTGCTATCCCTGAACATCAGTGGTACAAATCAAATACACCCAGGAGATCCTCCCAAGTAGCTGGAACTACAGGCACCCAACATGATGCCCAGTTAGTTTTTCTATTTTTAGTAGAGACAGGGTCTTGCTCTTGCTTGGGCTCATCTTGAACACCTAACCTCATGGAGATTGGCCTCCTGGAGTGCTAGGATTACAGGTATGAGCTATTGCACCCAGCTAGCAGTATTCTTATTGAGAAGACTAAATTTGAGAAAAAATTTTAAAAATTACAGTGTAATGAAGAAACTCTGAATACAAGTAAAGAAATTACATGGTTTTTTTTTTTTTTTGGAGACAGAGCCTCAAGCTATCCTCCTGGTTAGAGTGCCGTAGCATCACAGCTCATAGCAACCTCCAACTCCTGGGCTCAAGTGAGTCTCCTGTCTCAGCCTCCCAAGTAGC